AAGTGGCAGGCTATGTGAGTCCACACACAAGCATGGAGCACTACCAGCCTTCCTGGCTTCCCAGTAAAGTCAAAGACACAACTAGCCATCTATCAGAGTAGACACAAAAGTGCTCTCTCTGTACAGAGAATATCTGCTGCCGTCATCTCAGCATGGGAGATGCAGTTTTATGAATCTTCACTGTTTCCTTCATTCCCTTGATTCCAAGATTACTCACACTGGCAAGCAAGCACCCCTCTGGCACTGGAGTTTGAGGTCTTTTCTGTGCCCTCAAAACCTGCCTAGTTCTTTGTAGCCTTTCCTGCCATTAGCAAGATCAGGGTCTCCATGTGGGTGTTGGGTTTCTCGGTGCAGCAGTTCACGGGGGATGACTGCTGGCCTCACAGCTCCAGGCAAACGGTCTCACTCGCATGGCCTCCAAAGACTCGCACCATCCCTATAGTCACTCTTGTGGCTGCAAGCAAATCAAAGCCACCCCAGGTTGGGAAGGGGAGCTGGCCTCCACTGGCCTATGAGGAGGCGACAAGGGTGAACATGTAAGAGCATGTGGGATGGGATGCACTGCGGAGGCCCTGGGTGGCAAACAGAACCTGCTGTCAGAACATATAATTCAGCACTCTTATTTCAGAGGGAAGAAAACCGAGCTTATAGATAAACTAGGAATATCCGAGATAACTACCTTATCCTCGACCTCACTATCTTGAACATTCATTTCAAGATCTTTAATATCCACCCTTTAGAGAAAGAAGGTAGGAGGACAAAGCCCAGCTGTCCACTATAAGAAAGAGGGAAAATCAAGTAATGGTTGCGGGCAGATCAGGAATACACGAAACACCTTGGATACCAGCACTAAGTCACACAGGTGATTCCACGTACTTGTCCTCCAGAATCAAAGCTCAGGGGCTGAGGGCTCACAGGCCTTTTGGCCACTCTTACCTGTACAATACCCCTGCTAGAAACAGACCACAGCTATATCCTTAGCGGCTAGCCAGAAGTCAGTCTGGATTGCTTCAATCCCTGAGCAATTGTCCCCACAGACTCCCCATCATCTTCAGACTCCTAATCTTCCCCACAAACTCCCCTCTGTGCTCACCTGTGATCCACAACCACTTCTGCTACACAGAAGTGCACTACACACATCCCAGAAACCTTTTTCACGGCTATGTCTCTGACCATTCCTCTAAATCACGGCACCCAGGCCTGAAGGTAACAAACCAGTCTGTAGGCAACAAACAAGCAAAAGGCACAACCCTTCCACAGAAGCACCTGGCCACATTCAGGCAGATGCCATGCTACAAGTCTCAGCCGTGGTTAATTTGGGGTCAGGTTATATGACCTACCCTCTAATGAAACTTTACACATCTCATTAATTTACCTTCAAAAGGTAAAAATGTTTGGCCAAATGTTCCAACTTAGACTATCTGAATCTGAATACTGTTATTAGAGGTCAAATGGTTACAAACATTATGGAAATCATTACTGAGGAGATGAATCAATTGTAAAACTCAAATGTATTATATTGCATGTTTATGGGCTTAGGCCAGATTTGTTCTAACTGAAAGGTTCTTAGCAGATCAGGATGGCATGCCTCTCTGGTGCCCATCTCTGCAGTGAGGACATGGTGGGCATGACCAAAGTGGGCACAGGATGCTAAAGAAAGGGACAGTCACATCCTTTAAATTACTTACCAAAATCAACTTAGCTCACTACTACATATTATTGGCATGGAATCCAAAAAGAATAGACAAACAAGCCTCCAATCCAAAGACATTTTAAGTAAGAACTATTTTAACATTCTGAAGAATTCTTATTTTTGTAATTATTTTTCACATAAGAGATTTCAGGTACAACATACCGCCCCCCCCCTTAAAAAAAGAATGGTCTAAAATGCCTCATGAATCCAATCAAACAACAGATCAGGGGTCCTGCTTAGAAGCAGTTTTCAGATCTAATGATCAGCAAGACACAGCAAAGTGCATGTGCAACATGAAATAAGTCAACAGACCTCATAGAAGTTGTGCAAAGAAAGTCACCATTAACTAGGTATTGTAAGTGTACACAAGAAAGGCAGGGTTCTAATTCAGTCAGGTCATATGGTGAAGACATGGATAATTACTTGCCAAGAACCCATGCCAGAGGCCTGTTGTTTAAAGAAACAAAGTGAGACTGTTAGTAACACATTTCCAACCCTCGATATGGTTTTGAAGTATTTTCTCTAGTGATAAGGCTGAATCAGGAAATAAGCTGGATGGAGGAAGGAAACTGGGAAGGTGGGGGAGGGAAAAAAATGAGAGGGGGAACAAACTAGGGAGTATCAGGAAGTTCAACCAGATAGGAACTAAAGGAATTTGTTTTTTAGTGTCTCCACTTCAATCTGCAAACTGTGGGATGGACACACACACACACAGAAATACTCTCCAACACCCCCCATCCCATATTGAGAATATACACATAATTCCTATTGGTAACAAGCTTCTTCTAAAGCCCAAGTAATTTCAATTCAGTAGATCGGGCCATTTCTTTGTTTCCATGGAGGAAGCAGGTAGATCCAATTTAGGGAGCACTCTGTTTCACCTTCACTGTTTTCCAATTAATACAGCACCAAGCTGGGGAAAGGAAGAACTTGAAAACCAGACTGGTGTAGCCACCCATCCAGTGCATCCCAGCATAGTGCATTTTACTACCATTTCTCTTGAGTAACTGGCAGTGTGTGATGTTCCTTCACTCATTAAGCAAGTTCTTCTGATAGCCACATGCAGCCAGGAACTGTGCTCCTCCCAACAGCCTCTGAAGCTGGAAGAAATGCTGAGCACTGGCAAAGCCAGCAGAAAAGTTAGAACAGAGGCCTGAAAGTAACAGATGCTTTAACTTCCACGGCAGCGAGAAACAGGGGCAGCCTGGACACAACTGTCTTAAAGCTGAATTTTGACAAATTGTACTGATCTTTTAAAACATAATGTAGCACAAGCAAATGTTCATTCGATAATCCCCTTTCAGGAGTCTACTATGGACACCAGTAGAGGGCAGAAGGCAGGCTGATGAATACCTCCTAAAGGAAAAGATATTTCTAATACCAGCCCCAAATTTATGCAAGGCATCATTTAAAAATTATTTAACAACTAAAGCCCAAATTTTAAGAGGAAATACAGTGAAATTTCTATCCCCTACCATATGCCATACTGATTGGAGCACCTACTGGGAACCCAGAACTGGATACAAAACAAGTCCTTTGTCTTTTAAGTTGTTCACTGTCCTGCCTACATGTATTTGACAGATGAAAAAGTCCACATGTACAATACAGTAGATAGATTTCTTCATTAGATACAATGAAAACATTAGGCACAATGTTTGGCAAAACATAAATTCAAGCCAGTGTTGCTATGAGGGTCAAGGGAGGAAAACACAATAATCCAAGTGAGAAGAGGAGCCAAAAGAAGTATTTTCAAACCAATCTGATCAAAGGCCTTTTGCCCTTGGCTGTGTAGACTGTTGTAAGTAACATGGTAAGGTTTCTTAGCAACACTATTCGAGAAAGGTGCAGTTGTACCACCCAGAACTCAAAGGCAAACCCAACAATATCCAAGAAAAAAGGACTCTGCATAGGGAAACTTTGGTTTGCTGTTCTAAGCACAGTTAGATAGACTGTTTTCTGCACGCATGCGGCTGCACACATGGGTGTACCTCCTCAGTGTGGACATGGAATCTACAGACCAGTAAGCTCCACTAGTGGCTTTGTGGCACCTGGAGGCTTGTGACGCCCAGCCTGGTGACAGTGGAGCCGCTCTCTTGGTACAGCTGTGCTTTCAGGGCTGCCCTGCTGTTCTTAAGCCACCTTCCTTATCACACTGCAGTCCTCACCTGTATCAGCTAGAGACTAAAAGAAATTCTTTCTCATATGAACGGTGTGTGTGTGGTGTGCATATGCATGTCTGCCTGTCTGTCTGTCTGTGCACCCATGTGTATAGAGGGATGGAAGTCTGAGGCTGACTTCTGGTGTCTTCCTCTATTGCTCTCCACCTTGTATTCTGAGGCAGAGTCTCTCATTCAGTTTGCTATCTCAGGCAGCCTGACCATCCAGCACAGCCCAAAGGTTCCCTGTGGCATGCTCACCTTCCCCACCCCGATGTTACCCACTAGCTGGAATTACAGGTGGGCTACCATACCCACCTGGTTTTTTATGTGGGCTCTGGGGATCCTACTGCTACTTCATCTATTGTGTCGTTTCCTTTGATCTAAGAAAAATTAACTCTTTTCTTCCACTGTCAGAACACATCACCACCAAAGACAGCCACCTTCCACGTAACTCAGCAGCCACAGGGAGTCATAGAAAACAGCTTCCTCCATGCTCACCCTGCTCAAAGAGTTGGGCAGAGAGGGGCTGGGAAACCTAGGAATCCAGCCCTAATCTGCAAAGGAAATTGCTTACCCAAGTCTCTCATCATAGGTAATTCTCACGTTTCTAAACATAATACCGAGTAACAGATATCTACTACCCAGGGAAAAAAGACACCCGCCAGTCTGGAAAAATGTTAGAGATAAATAAAAGCTGTCTTTCTGTTCTACGGTCACCATGGACCTTGCCCAGGAACCAATAAAGGAACATAAGCACGACACGCCGGACTCACTGAGGAGCCACAGTTAACTATATAGCCCAGATTTTGTTAGATAAAACAAATTTTCATTATCTCCAGAATTCAGCTAAAATCTCGAGTGTTTTCACATTAGAATGGCATACAGGGCTGTCACTTACATTTGGAAATAGTGCAAACGTTTTGCGCAATACACAGGTCAATAGAATGATTAGGGTTATGAATTATAGGTCCATTTGTACTCCCCAGTTTTGAAACAAGCCATAATATACAATGGAAGGTGTACTCACTGCTCATCCCAGCCCCAGGGTCTGTGGCTAAGGGTGGGAGTGGGGGCATGCTGTTGTCTGTGATACTGGAAAGAGACAGACTGAGAACATGCGAACAGCACTACAACCCATGGCTGGGTACCTGAGCAGTTTTCTTGTTCTTCCTTTTCCCGAAAATGCAGTCCAGGTCTGTTTCGCTCCGAGAAGACAGATCCTTCCCTAAAAACAACACAGAGCTTTTCAGTAAGACCATTCGTTTCAAAATAAGAAGCACAAATAGAAATATGTCACTCCTGGAAGAAAGCAGCTGGTAGCAGAGGGTCAGCTGCTGACTCCAACCCCTCACATTCCAACGCTGAGCACAACACAGACTATGATTAAAACTTCAGTGACCGTCGTCAGACCAGAACTGCCCAGTCCCCTCCTGACTGCAAACAACCTGGCACATGGACAGCACAGAAAGCTCTACACAGAAGTGACCCTCCTGGCTGCCATTAAGGTGGGCCTTATGGGTTCTGAGTTTGTTCTCGGCAAAACAATCCCATTTCCTTCTAAGAGAAACGGCGAATTACTGATGGTTACAAAACGCGGAACTGAACATTCTGACAGGCTCATACCTCAAACCCTTTAAATACTCACATTCACTGCTTTTTGTCACAGGAGCTCAATAATGACTAAGGAAAAATTTAAAAGAATAAAGCAAATCAAAGTTCAATTTTCCTTTGAAAATGTCCTTACTTGTAATAGCTCTCCCAGTTAAACAGAAAAGCTACCTGATGACAACAGGGAATAAATGGCTCTGGTCAGAGCAGGATCCAAAGAATCTAGGATTCCTGTTTTAAAAACGAAACTAACTCAACTCCAAACCCACAAACCACTAATTTAAAATTCCCTTTGGAATTTTAAACAGGAACCTATGAGCAGTCAGCCAAATCCATTCCCATCTATCAACTTCAAGGAAAGTGCATCTGAAAACTCAACCCTCCGTGTGAAGCCTGCTAAGCTTGGAAAGAGAGGTCAGGTCACATACAGGAATCCGGGTTTCTAGCTGGAAGCCAAGTTCCAGTCACCAGTTCCTTGCTCTTGGTTTTTTGCAGCAAACTGACTTGACAAAGTAATGTCATGACCTAGAAGGTTCTGGTTCACCAATTAGCACTGGGGCATTCAAATACGACACTGCTCAGTGACTCCATGAAATTGAAAAAACAAAACACCCTTCAATTTGATGCAAAACCAGGTGCCAGAACCAGTTTCAGAGGCAGTGGTACCAGAATAGATGGTGCAGTTGGCACGACCTGTTCCTGAGGCATGGGAAGGTTCCCAATGTTGCTCTCCTCCCATCAGAACCCCATTCAAAAAAGCCAAGGAGAATCCACCTAAGAACAGAGTGATACTTCTCACAAGCTGTGGCACAGGCAATAAACCAGAGAGGGAGCACAGACAACTCCTGTGCTCACAGCTGCAGCAGTGAGAAGTGGGCGGCTTCTTGGGAGGCAGACACCTATCCTCAGCTGTCACCAGGGGAATCCATTTTCTACCTGCAAAGCACATTCACTGTGGAAGTGTAGCCCAGAAAAGTGAGTCAATTTAACTTGATTTAGAAACCAAGAAACCAAGCATGAAGGTGCACACTGCCATCCAAGGACTCAGGAAGCAGAGGCAAGAGGGTCAAACATTCTAAGTCAGTGCCATACAATGAAAGAAACCCCAATTCCAAAGCAAGTAAAAACCTCCAAAACATTGAACAATTCCCCTTAATCCAGCCCCTAAAAACAGGTGGTATCCTAAAAGAAACATAAATTCATGCCTCTTTTTTTTTATAACAATTTCATTAAATGTAAAAGGTCAAAGGGGAGAACACAGGGCCACAGTTCACAACTAGAATGTGAAAAAACAAGCACACTGAGATTCAAATCAAATCTCAGACTCAAAGGGAAGCTGCCAAGCCAGTAGAAATGTTCAATAGAGGTGCTAGGGCTTCTAGAGTTCTGGTGTGGGTTCTTGGACCAGAAATTTCTATCCTCTAGCAAAGTTCACTTAAGTAAATGTAGAAACCAGGGCTCTACAGGACATGCTCTGGATTTAATCTGGAAAACAGGGGAGAAATGAGAGAGTCCATTAAAGAAAAAACCTGTAACTGGGTTAAATGGGAAGACAGTGGGATCCTGAAATTAAGAGTCAACAATGGTCCTGGTTGAATCATTTACATATATTATGAAATTATGGATAAGATACACATAGTAAAAATTAACTTTAAAAGGACAGTAACTTCAGAACTATGGTAAAATCAGAATGAAACTGTGGACAAATAGATCTTTGACAAGATGACAAAGAGAAATTGAACAAGCCAGAAAACATGTTATCTCTATAGCTGTGTTCTAGCTCAGCCATAACTACATCTCAAGAACCAGGAAGAAAGGCTTCTAGGAGTCAAACAGACATAAGGAAGTCCATGCAGGGCTGGGTGTAGGGTTTCACAGAGGAATCACAGGTTTCCCATCAGGTTTTCCAGATAATACAGAGGTCACTGAGAGAAGAAGTGAAACTCCCAGAGTTGACAAATGCCAACTCCATCCTCCAGTCTGGCATCTGGGAAGCAAATAGACCATAACACATAGATATAAGTTCAATGAACTATAGCTGCAGCCCAACTCTAAATAAATGCTATCTTAGTAAATATATTTGCAAATTAAAAAAAAGAGAGATCTCCTGGGTAAACTGGGGAGTGGTGAGGGGAGGTGTAGAGGGGAGGAGAACATGAGGGAACAGGACGGTTGAGTTGGAGGAGGGACAGTGGGAGAGCAATGAAAGAGATATCTTGATAGAGGGAATGATTGTGGGGTTAGGGAGAAACCTGGTGCTAGGGAAATTACTAGTACTCCACAAGGATGACCCCAGCTAAGACCCCTAGCAATAGTGGAGAAGGTGCTTCAGTGGCCTTCCCCTGTAATCAGATAGGTGACCACCCTAATTGTCATCATAGAGCCTTCATCCAGTAACTGATTAAGAGATCCACAGCCAAGTTCCAGGCCAAGCTCTGGGAATCCAAGCCTGCATGGGACCAAACTAGGCCCTCTGCATGTGGCAAACAGTTGTGTAGCTTGGTCTATTTGAAGTGCCCCCTGGCAGTGGGACCAAGATCTATCCCTGGTGCATAAGCTAGCTTTTTGGAGCCCATTCTCTATGGTGTGATGTCTCACTTAGCCTTGATGCTGGAGGGTCTTGGTCCTGCCTCAACTTACTGTGGCAGGCTTTGTTGATTCCTCATGGGAGGCCTTACCCTTTGGGAGGGGTGGATGGGGGGTGGGCTAAGGAAGAGGCATGGGGGGGGCAGGAAGAGAAGTGGGAAGGGAAACTGTGGTTGGAATGTAAAATGAATAAAAAATAAAACAAAACAGGTTTATCTGGGTAGCTTCAGTTATTTCAAACTTTATTTACATAACTCAGTCAATAAGACTAAATTAAATAAAAAAAAAAAAAAACAATGCCCCTTATAACCATGGTCTTACTGTGGAAAGGAGCTAGATTTTAAACAAATATAGCTGATAGTAACTTAAAATTACATAATTAATTATTACAAACAAAAGCCATTAAGTAGAAGCTACACAAAGAAGTAACTATGCATCAGGACTAAAATGATACAGGCAGAATTTCGGCAGTAGCAGATATTACAGTACCATTTGCTCTGGTCAGGTATTTTGCAGTTTCTTTGAGACAGGGTCTCACTATGTAGCCCTGGCTATCCTAGAACTCGCTGTGTAGACCACCAGGCTGGCCTTGGAGGCCTCTGCCTCCCCAGTGCTGGGTCTAAAGGCATGCACCACCACAATGGCCAGCTCTTGCTCTGTGAAGGTCCTGTGAAGGCTGTATAGAGTGCCACCTTGCTACATTTTAGTTTTCTGGAACACACAGGGACTTACCACAGGACTCATCCTTACTAACAAAGGGAACTAGAAACTTTCATTGTTGACATTAAGGTCCTCTTTCCACAAGGTTGGAAAAGCATGAGTTCCATACTGGGGGTCATGTCTCACAAACCACACAACAGAGTCTAGCTGGGCTTCATGGCAGCTTGCAAATACCTCCTCATGTTACAGAAGAGGAAACAGAATTTGAAGGAAGGGAAATAGTTGGGGATGTGTCTGGGAGAGCAGCAGCCAGAAGCCAGCTTCCTCTGACCCAGACAGGCTCCTTTAAGACAATCTACAGTTTATGGTTATCATTCACATCCAGAGACAAGACTAAGTGAAAAGGAACAGCTTTTAGGAAATGAAAGAGCACCAGCTTCCACCGGAGACTGCAGATGGTGGGATCTGCTGTTTCCTGTCCTACCTGGATTTTCACTCCTTTTCCTCTTTCTTTCTTATTCCCAGCCTTTGGGTCCTCTATTTCCTGACACCTCCTCTCCCTCTAGCACAATACACCTCCAGCACTTTCTTCTTTGCACACCAAGGCCTCCTTTCTTCACGAGCAAGGCTGTTAAATATGCAAACCTTACTGTGAGAGAGAAATGAGGCATAATGCATCAAGCAGTGTGAGAGGGTCACAGGCAAGGGAGTGGCTGAACCAGAAATAGAAAACAGGTAGACACAGCCAGTATCCAGCAGATTAGAGCATCTTAGAAAGGTTTTTCCTAACTTTAGCAAAGGCTTGGATGAAGGCAGGCATGCAGTCAGGGACTAAAGGACAATCAGAAGATTACATTAATTTGGAGGGACTGTCCAAAAATGAATTCCACTTGTGTGGTCTGCAACAGCCTTCTGCAATGTCTCTAGTCTTCCTATAACATCTATTGAAAACGAAAAACTGTTTAAGGAGCTACCATTCCTCACCTCCAAAGGACTACAGAGACAGTAAAGTAGCTTTCTGCCCTACAGCAGCTTATGGTATGGTAGAGATAAGCCCTGGTTAGATGCCTCAGAGGCTTCCAACAAGAGTATTTGCCTATCAAAAAGAAAGGGATAGCACAGAGGAGCTTAATTAAAACCACAAGTGGAGAAGGAAGGAGACTCCAGTTCTCCTCCCACAGGGCTTAGAAGGCGCTCTGCTCCTGAACCCCCGGCTCTGCCGTACCTTTCACATCTTCCAAGCACAGCTCTACTTGATGGGGTCCTGGCCCTAAAGGACAGCTACTATCGACAGTGTCCAGCCAGACTCTGTCTCCCACTGCTACTCAGGCAGGTCATGGGAGTTCATCAGTCCCCCAAATGCCAAGACCAAGGTGAAGAGAAATGCCTTTCCTTGCACAGAGGCAGAAAGAGACATTCAATATGCCAAAGAGCAATCAAGTAGTGCTGGGACGTCACAGAACAGTAACCACCACACCTAACACACATAAAGTACCGCATGTAACAGATAGTTGTGACCAGATGCAGACACAGCTGAGATTTGTTTATAACAAGGTAAAGGCTTCTCATCTGTACACGACTGCCACCTAATGGCTACAGAGAATAGTTGTATCCACAATGAGCTCCATGGGGAAGGCGAAGGTGGCTAAGGTTGTGATGAGCAAGGCAGGGCTTACTGCCCAATTTCCAATTGCCCTGTTTCTCAACACCACCCTAGCCACAGCCATGGGATGCCTATAGAGATACTCCATGAGAGGGAGAATTTGCATAGATTATTCCAAGGGTCACCTTAGGACTATGAGTCACTACAGTGAAGATTTTGCTATAATTAATGAGCCAAACTGTCAAAACAGGAACTATCTACCACAACTACTAAGAACTGAAAGTATAAAAGCTGTAAAATTAAAGAATAGAAAATTTAAATTATTTTTGATTTAGCTACACAGCATTCCCATTTTCTCTAAACAGACAGACTTTCATCACAGCCCACACAGGACCTGCCCAGTCTGAAGCCTCCCCTGGGTACCTCTTGGTACAACCACACCCCAATTTGCACTTTCATAAGATGCCTGGCAAATCAGCACGGGAGCTTGCAATCACACTGAGCCCTTGCCACCCAGGGCTGCCGCAGATCAATCCACCCGGCAGAGCAGACTGCCCCATTCAGGACTTCAAGCAAGCAGCCCATGCTGCAGCACTGGGCAGGGGTCACAATGCCTCAGGAAACCCAGTGCCAACAAACACACTTCACCAAGTGAATGCCTGCTCTTACCTTTCGTGAATTTCATATAATGAACCCGATTTTTGGAGGTTTTGGATTTTTCTTCAAGGCTAAAAGATTTCTTTTCCTTGTTGTCTGGAGAATCTGTCAAAAGAAGAAGAACATTAACCACCATGTAACTCATTCTCTGCAGGAAAGGCTGAAGAGTTCTTACATACGATTTTATGGGCGTGCCATCATTTATTACCAGACTGTTACCAAAGGATTGGGATTGTTTTCTAAAGTGTAGATCAGGCAAGGCTCTCTCTAGTCTATAAAAACCTTAAAGAAGAGAAATGAAAATATGTCTTCATACTAAAATTTACACATGACTATTCACGGCACTTATCCATAGCAGTACAACACCAAGGTCACCCAAAGCCTTTCAATATGGCTGAGCTCACACTGACACAGCCTGACACTGGAATATCATTTAGTCATCTGCAGTAAAGAGTGGGGGATTGATTCCAACATGACCACTGAGCCACATCATAGGTAGCGATGCTCTCCCCCAGGAGTTCCTAGGAATTTCAACAGAATGTGAAGCAGAGCCGGCTGTGAACTGTGAAGACAGGTGCTTCGGATTTCAGACAGTGTTCAGCATGGGTTACTGGGAGTGCACACCCTACACCACTGTGCTGTGTCCTGCCAGAGCTGTTCTCAGTTTATAAATGCCCATGTGGAAGGATCCCTGAGTCTTCACTGAGCTCAGGGGATCAGTTAATCTCTGGAAACCCACAGGCATTTTTCCAAACTGAGGGGCACAATCCATATGGCTCTCCTTTCCCACATGCCTTCATCCCACTTTAAGAAGGGCAGTTCTCTCCCTGGAATCAATGAGGGAACCAAATATGGGTAACAGGATCCCACCTTTTCATCAAAACCACTCTTTCAGTTTATCAAAACACAATGCTAGAGATTTCCCTGTTTTATTTATAGGTATTTATCAGAATTTACACTGTATTTTCTAGTTGCCCTAATAGTAATCTACTAATTATTATGACAACATAACCCAAAGGGAAACATCTGTATTGACTGTTGAGATCACTAGGAAACAAAATGTTCTATCTGTGCTGTGGCAGAGAAATGTGACCAATTCAAAAAGGCTATAAAGCTGATTATAGTGGTACAAATTCATAAGCACAGTACTTGGGAAGATAAGGCAAAAGGATCATGAATATGAGGCCACTATGGACTATCTAATAAGACCCTAACTCAAAATACAAATATTTAAAAAAAGTTTTAAAATACATTAACATAAAATACAATGGGGTACGTGAAATAGAAGTGAATTATGAAACACAGTCTTTCTGACACTACGGAGGTTTATGTATTTGCACACTTCAGAGACAATGAACATCAAACTGTGATAGCATCTGGCATCCACTACAGGCATTTAGGATTGCTACAAAAGTGTTATATCTAAATGCCATTTCCAGCACATAGGGCACATTTAAAAGTGATAGTATGATTTTCTCTAAAATGTCAATATTCCCTCCATGAACCAGAATTTACATCCTTTGCTTGTGGCTTTAAAACCTTTGGATGTTGATTAAAAATGTGCAACAGGGCACACTTTCAAAATTCTTGCAGGGGATATGCTAGTAGAAACTTGAGGACACTACTTCAAACCACAACTGTGCATTTAACAACTTCTCAGCACCCCAGTTTCCATCCCAAAATATTTAAAATAATGAGTGTCAAAATATCAGAAGGGCAATATGCAGTCACTATGAGAAAGTGCCATCCAAATGCTAATGTGGACCTGTCAGGGCATGCCTAAGTGTACACAGTTTCCCGTGTGTACATGCACCTGTGTATGTATATGGGTACTTGTGAATGTCTGTATGTGTAACTGTGCACACACATGTGGAGGCCAGAGGACAATGGTAGGTGTCTTTCTGCATCTTGATATACTTCATTTTTTGAGACAGAGTCAATCACTGAACCTAGAACTCACCGACTGGCAAGGGTAGCTGGCCAATGAGCGCCAGAGATTCTCTTGTCTTTGCTCTCCCAGTACTGAGATTACAGTTACACACTGGTCTTTTTGGCGTGGTTGCTCGGGATCTGAATTCAGGTCCTCACTCTTGTGCAACAGATGCTTTATGGACAATAATCTCTCCAACCCCTGCTCTCCTGTTCGTGTAACATGGGCTGACAATTTACATGAGGCTAACACTAAACTTCTGATTCTCCTACTCTTCCTCCCAAGAGCTGGGATTATAAACACCTACTACACCCAAATGTGTAAAAGAAGGTAACTTTTAAAAATGAAATTTAAAAGAACATTTTGATTTTTAAGTTCTACAACAGGACAACACAGTCTTCTTAGCTCGAAGGCAAACAGTTTGAATTTACTAAGGGATCTTAACAACAGAAAAGAATACAGGTTCCGATGTCATCTACCACTGGTTGCAAGCAATGTGTGGCTGTGGTAAAAATTCATGTGGATGAAGACATCACATTCAAAAGAGATGGCACACTAGGAAAATAACTTGTTAGATCTCCAGGTCTGTCCTGGGAAGAGGCTTTCCCCAAAAGGAATCTGAAAGCGCCTTTCAGTTCTGGATGGCAGTGGAGCCACAGACAAGAAGCTTCTCTAAATGCATGATCAGGGCTGCAGGGCTACTGGCCCCCTCTAGTGGTCTGGACTGGAGTTACTACAGGAGAGCAGCTGCAGTTTTGCCATCCCTTAAAACACTCCCAGCTGTGGGCATCAAGGAACAGGAAGCCCAGGGAGATTAATCCTGGAGGAGGATGAAGAAGGCAAGTGTCATTTGTGAAGTCAGTCACAGCCTTCCTGAAAAAAATCTCAGTCCTCTGGGACCTTCGGAATACCTACTGTCGTCAACACTTAAATGGTCCAGGGGGAGGCAGTGCTACTGCAGTGATGCTGCTCAGCTTTGGCCATCAGTGAGGGACAAAGGAGGCCTGTCCTGAGTGAGACAGGGTCCCAGTACGACTAAAACAGTACCTGTCACCTAGGAAATGGTGATCATGACACCATCAGACTGCAGGAAACAGAATCTCTATCCATGCAGCCCATCCAAGATCTCTGTGAGGTCTTGGAGCAGATCAGTTCTTGGTTCTGTGGCCTGAAAATCAGAAGCACTCTCTGAGGCACCAAGCACTAAGAGGAACAATGTCAAACCTAATGCAAAATAGTTTTCTCTGGTTAAGAACAAGGATGTGGGCATCTCTGGGAAAAGGATCCCAGGTTCAAAGGTCCATGAGGGCACTAGTGGTAAAGGCACCTCATGCTTGAATGATGCCCTAGTCATGACCCTTAGATGTCACCAGATACTTACTGAGGTCAACTTTCTGGTGACCAATGTGCCACTTTTTAGCTAACTTTCATTTTGGTCTTTATGTAGCATTAATTATATATGCTGTATTTTAAGTCTGCCGAAAGACAAGTAATCTTCACAATTCTTTTATCATAATATGTGCATAGCATACAGATATAATTAAAAACCTACACAGCTAGCTGAGGTGCGCACATCTTTAATCCCAGCACTCAGGAGGCAGAGGCAGGCGGATCTCTGTGAGTTCAAAGCAAGCCTGGTCTACAAGAGTTAGTTCCAGGACAGCTAGGGCTGTTATATAGAGAAATCCTGTCTCAAAAAAACAAACAAAAAAAACCAAAAAACAAAACAAAAAACCCTATACAGTTGAAGAATTATAAAGTGAACCGCTTCATCACTACTCCCAGGGTTAGACTACCAGCACTACCAGTATCTAGAAGCACTCATGTGCCCTTCCTTGGCACTTTCAGACCCTGCTGTTTCTTCCCAGAAACTAGGCATTCTTTGCTGTGGGGCACAGCTGTCCACGCTGCAGGATGTGTAGTCACAGTTCTGCATCCCAGAAACCAGTAACACGCCCACAGCTGGGATGAGGACAGCTCACTCAGTGACTGTACCGTTAGGATATAAACAGAACTGAGTCCTGGTGATGCTTTCGTCACCCAGCTCTCGGATCAGAAAGTCTACAGTGAAAGTGATTCCGACGGAAGGAGCAGCACCAGCGCCAGTGTCCTTACCTGCTGTTTCCTGACTGTGGCAAGTGTTGAGTGCTGCCAAAAGCTGGTTGAAGTCGTCCTGGTGAGCAATCCAGTTGTCCTGAAAGCACCAAAAAGTATGAGCGGCAAGCCTAAAGCTTACTATATTGCTGACATAGAGATATAACAGAAATCTGGACATGAATATGAAATTGTACCCATTTCTTAAAATATTATTTTGCAGTGAAGTCTATAGTAAAGCCTTTGTGTCTGGCTTTGAGGGAAATGTTTCAGCAAAGTCGTTGCTATGTTTGGGTTAGTCAGCAGAGGCTGAGAAATTGTTTTGAGACTGTTGAAACCTTTGAAGAATTGTTGTCTCTCTGGAGAATTGACACTTGGTGCTACATACATGATAGTTTACACCTGCACCAACCTTGGTCTGAAGATACTCCTAGCAAATGTAGAGTTCTTAATTTTGATTATGGCTAACCACAATTTGTGTGGGTTGTCTGCCCTCATGAGCAAGATAACTTTGGTAGTTAGAACCTTTCCCAGTTCTAATTAACCTATATATATATATGTGTGTTTGAATAAAATAAGTGGAGTGAGCTAGTTGAGTATCATTTTTTTTTTCCAAGAAGGCTGTCCCCCTCTGTTCTTTTGGAAAATTAAGGCTTAGCATCTTGGTGAGCTTCTCTCTCTACTGTGGCACCTACAACCAACATCAAGCAATATTATTTAATAAATTTAACTGGATTCAAGAAATCGTATAAACTTGAAATAAGATTTAAGCAGATCCATATAAAAGCTATAAACTTGAAATTAGGTGTAAGCAGAGCCAAATAAGAGCTGGAGAATCTAGGTCAAAGCTCAGTAGTGGAGTCCTTGACTAGCATGTGTAAAAATTCCAGGTTTAGTCCCCAGCAACACAAAGTCAACAATATATATTTAGAGGAACCTGCTTGGAAGCTCAAACCTGTATTCCAAAGGTATATGGCTCATTCACAGTTAAGTTGGAGCAAAACAAAGCAACGGGCAGTTTGTTTGCTAAATATTACACTTAAGCAATATAAAATTAGTATTTTCTCACACAGAGAGACTATCAGGGACTGGAGATACGACTTGGCAGTTAAGAGCACTGAATGCTCTTACAGAGGACATAAATTCAATTTCTAGCACCCACATGGTGGCTCACGTCTGTCTTTAACTCCAGTTCCAGACGAACCCACGCCTTCTTCTGACATCCATGGGTACTGCATGCATGTGGTAAGACACATATGCACAGAAAAAATACCCATATACATAAAGGAAAATAAATAAATTTGGGGGTGGGGGCGTGACACACACCATGGCCATGACAAAGACAGGGGCAGCGAGAGCATGCCCTCCTCTTTGTGCAACACAACTTGGACCATTCTGTGAATTCTGACTACTTGCGTCAGCAGCAACTTTGCAGAATTCTGTGAAAGGACGTCCTAAGTCTCTGAATCAACGAGTTCCTGCTTGCAAGGGGTTCACTAATAATGATCTCTAAACAATATGAACCAGTGGGCAACAGGGTTTCTGAGCAGAATTTGCCCATATAACTTTATATAAGCATTTCTTATTAAGCAACAGGGTTTCTGAGCAGATTTCTGAGCAGAATAACTTTACATAAGCATTTCTTATTAAGAAAGCTTAAAAGTTAAGGTGTACAAACAGGTTTATAGAATACAATGCTTCTCCTAAGAACATAAGTAGAGCATGTTTTGTGTTTTTCAAATCGGCATTTCCAGTAACCTTATAGAAACTCTTTCTTTAGTGGTTAAAATTTTAGCTGCTACTCCAGAAAAATCTTAGCTGTTCTAGTCAGAGATACTAAACTACTCTAAGCAATTCAGGTTAAATAAAGTCATTCTCCCAGGTTTTTTTTTTTTAATTATTATTACTGGATTTTGTTAGCTACAAGAGTTTAGGACAAAGCTCCCAAGTCTGACTCTGAATGCAAAGGAGCTGTCGGTACTAAACTTGAAGAGTCTGACAGCCGCTGACTTTCAAGCACAGAGTCTGTGTTCAAGAGGCCAAGAGACAAAGGAGAACACAAACAGAAACAAGACAGCTTTCTTATATCACTTTCCACTCTCAAAGCCACCTGCATTAAGAAGACAAACTAATATTAGGGTAGAAGTAAAGATAAAATTTGGTTCTGTTCTGAAATAAATATTTTTTTGAAAAGACGTTTTGCAAAATTCAGCCATAAAACAGGAGAGCCTTTCTAGGCCATTGAGTAAAGGCTTCAGAAGGACAAGGCAAGGTGGTGGATGCATGTCACAGGATGAGGACAAGCTAAGTCAAGCGCTCTTACATCTTTGTAAACGCTCTTACAAAGCATGTACCATACTTTTGATGAAAGCCATTCCATCTACTTGCACGAACTTCAATGTTTATGTCGACACAACTCAACTCTGCAAAGAAAACACACAGAGGTTGCTTACTTCATTATTGTTTGTAGCTCCGAGTCCCAGGTTATTGTTCTTAACTTTAACTTTAATATGTTCTGTGGCTCCTTGCTCCTGAGCCCCCAAACCCTGTGGAGATTAAAAAAAGAAAAAGAAATCAAATATAACCCTATCAGCTACAAAGAGAAGTAGTTGCCTCTTTCTTTCTTTACTATCTATTCAAAAGACAACCCAGAACAATGGTTCTCAACCTATGGGTCGCAACCCCTTTGCGGGTCAAATGGCCCTTTCACAGAGGTCAGTTATTTATAACAGCAGCTAAATTACAATTATGAAGTAGCAATGAAATAATTTTATGATTGGGGTCATCACAACAGGAAGAACTGTATAAAACAGTCATAGCATTAGGAAGGTTAGCCCAGAGGGTTCCTGGGAGCACATGGAGCACATGGCATTCTGTTACTTAACACTAACATGACATCAATTAAGAAGGTGAAGGAGCTTTCCGGGTTCCTGGTCTCACTTAGCTCTGACTCCGAAGGTTGTATGTCAAGTGCAGAGACTGTAGGTGAGAAAGACCTCCAGGGAGGCTTCAGCTAGGTGAATGGGAAAGGAATAGAAAACAGAGACTGAACATCATAGGACCTTCAAAGTTCGAGTGGAGGTGCAGATTTTAATCCTTGGAAACATCTTCAGCAAGGGAGCAACATGATCTAAAGTTCAGTTTCAAGGCCCTTCTGGTTGTTATATGAAGAAAGGGACAGAGGAGGAAAGAAGGGCAATGGGAGGTGGTATTGTTTAGATGCTTGGGTAGTTAGCACCATTTTTAAAAATCAGGAAAACCTGGGAGGGATTTGAGGAGACAAGAGGTTTATAATAAAAAATAACCTTGAGATGGTCCCTCAGGTATCACAGCCAGGAGGCATAATTCAATGCACGGTAATTAATGAGATTGCCTGCGTGGAGTATGCAAAGTGGCTCCTCAGCTCAGAAGTCTAGAGGAAGAAGTTGGCCATGATGCAGAGGTTACTGAGGTGATGAACAGGCGAGAGAAAGGGAAGTGATGCTACCATGGTAAAGTTCAATGCGCAGCCACCGTGCGGAGCACTGCTGAGGGTGAGGCAGTTTAGGGATACCGCACGCCCACTGGATCTGGCAGGCGCCTGCAACTCTGACAGAAGCAGGATGCATGGTTTCACATTAGAAGCTCCACTGCAGGCAGGAGTAAGTGGGATAGAAGGGATTCGAGAAAGCAAGTATCTACTATGAAGGAAAATAAAGTACCATTCCTGGGAACACAAAGCTGAAGCTTAAGCATGATTTCACGTGTAACGAATTAAAAGATATCTAAGAAGGCTAATACAGCAGTAACCAGAAGACCTGGCTTTCAGTTCCAGTCTAATTTACCACCTGGTTACAATTTAGTTCTCCAAAATCAATTACTGATCTAAAGCACAAAGTTCTCCCAGACTCTAAGAAGGCTATCTTCTGATTCGCTGTCTCCTGGCTTGGCATGGATACTTTAGACTTTCAATGCAATACCTTTCCTTTAGACCACCCCATCTTCTCAAGCATCCTCTGGCCAAACTTGGAATCATCGTTACTCCATGCAGTGTTTCTGGGATCCACAGTCCATTTCTGCTTCCGCCGACCTGCAAATGAAAAGGCATTTCATCAGCAATACGCCTTTACCTGGAAGAGCACACGCAAATCAGCACATGCTTGCGTGCTAACAGGACATGTTCAGGGTCCAAGGGGCTAAAACAATCTTCCCCCTGGCTTTCCCTGTAACTATACATTCCTGGCATATAAGCTGACCTTGTAAGATTCAAAGCAAAACATTCTCTCTAAGAGAATGCAAACTAAATACCTGACAGACTACTATTTTAGCCTTCCGCTTCCAGTCACTGGAAGCAATGAAAGGCCCTCTTGTCACGGCCTTTATACTCACTGGCAGCTGCAGCAGCCACAACAGCAGATGCAGTCACCCCAATGCTCACAGCTTCAGGTTATAGGCTAAATGCCACACATACAGTAGACATTCTTTCCACAGTACCTCAATGAAATGAGATCTTCTTACCTTTCCACCTTACAGATGAGAAGGTCCAAGTCCAGGAGAGTAACATCTGCCAAATGTCCCCAAGTAAAACCCAAACCTTTTATACAAACCAAGGTCCTATAGATTTCAACAGTGAGATGGAGATTCATGTAGTGCCCAGGCTAACCTTAAATTTGCTATGTAGCTAAGGATGACTTTGAACTCCTGATCTTCCTGCCTCTACCTCCCATGCCCAGATCAACTTATATTCTTAATCCACATACATAAGTCATTATGACCTTAGGGAGAGTCAATAGTAGATGATGATTAACAGATAATATGATACCCCCCTTCTTATTAAATACCACAATGTGTTCACTGTGACTTCACATGCTATTGCACTGTGGTATTCATCTCCACCTTTCATGTGTCCTGTTACTCTATATCCCTTCCGTGTCATATTCAGTTCTTCGTCCTTATGCTGCACTGTAGAGGAAAATAAAGCACTTTGCCTATAGCTGATTAGAAATGTGTGAACATATGAATGCATGAGAAAGAAGGAGAAAAAGTAAAGGAAGAAAGAAAAAGAAAAAACAAAAAAGGAAAAAAAATAGTTGAAATAAGGGAACTGCTTTGGGTGTCATGGAGACTTCTCTCTGAAATGAATATAAATAAATAACTGACCATTAAGAACTCAAGTTCAGGCTGCAGAGATGGCTCAGAGGTTAAGAGTCCTGGCTGCTCTTCCAGGGTCCCCAAGTTAAATTCTGAGGCACCACATGGTGGCTCACAACCATCTATAATGAGATCTGGTGCCCTCTTTCTGGCCAGCTGGAATACATGCAGGCAGAACACTGTATACATAATAAATAAATCTTAAAAAAAACCCTCAAGTTTATCAATACAGTTGTATTGTTTGTTTGTCTGAGACAGCCTAGCTCTGCAGTCTAAGGCAGTCTTGAACTGGTGGCAATCCTTTAGTCTTAGCTCCACAAATACTGGGGAATCACAAGCAGGAGCTACCACATTTGGCTTCACTGTTAAAATTTTGAGGAAAAACTATAACAGAAAAAGAACCCACCAGGTCAACAGAACAAGAATCTGCACCCCCAAAACCACCTGTGGCCAAGAAAGGAATATGGAGGTTGAATGTCATTACTGTCAGCCACTGCATGCATGCAAACACATTATCATCAACAGACTCATAATCCAACTGCAAAATGACATGACCTCTAGTCAAAGGGCTCACTATGTTACATGTAAAATCAATAGGGATCCTTACCTATATATACCCCAACAAACAAGAAACCCTTCCCAAGCACGCAAGGCAGAAAAACAAAACAAAAAAAGAAAACCACCACAAACCAATTCAGTTATACCTGAGAGAAAAAAGGTTACCCCAAAACTTGTTCCACCTAGTTCAAAAACCTGGTATATACTCAGCACAACACTATCTCATGAATGAGCACAGTAAAAACAGCCATATTAGCTGGTGTTCTGCATGTCTGTGTCCGATCCATGTCTGGAGAATGCCTGCCAGGGGTCACTGACCAAGGCTTGTAAGGTGCCTTCCCTTCCCATCAGAAATGCATCCCTGTCACATACTTACACAAGATGCGTTGCCACGCTACCTAAGGAACCGGCTGCCAGGTCAGTTGTCCTTCCCTGTGCACCACTGCCCACAAACTGCCTCCAAACAGTACTGATGCAGTCCCCTCGCTTAAGATTTGTAAGCCTTGGCTGAGGCAGAATCTAGCCCAATTTCATGGAAGTAGAGACCAGCTGAACTGTCTGGAAGAGGGTGGAATCGACTGACCTACCTAGAAAGGACACTCTCCAGTCCAACTACTGGGCTGCCTGCAGGATGTGCAGTATGCCATGAAGAGTGGGGGTAAACTACAGAGGGGGCCAGGAGTGGCAGTAGGGCATCAGAGGTGGCAGTAGGGTCGTGGGAGATGGGGAAGAAGAATCACTAAAACACGCTTTGTTCTAAAGTGCCATAATGACATTTTTTTTAAAAAAAAAAAAAAAAAGAAAATATCTGTTTACATTCCTTGATAGCTACACAACTTCCAGGAAAAGTCAAAAGCCAGTTCTTAGCGACCATCACTCGACTGCCTTCTGGTGGCAAGAATCCGTAGCTACACGTATCATTTCAAAGTGAAAGTAGCCTCTGAGGAGGAGAATTTGTGGACTTTAGAGTGATGCTAAGTGTCAAAGACAAAAAGGCAATGTCGCCTCTAACCGCGGATACCCTCTCGGTCTCGCTCAGAACCGTTCACCAGTCTGCACTCCCGCCACGGGCTAATCACTGTCTAACACTTGTAATCCTGCCTTTCTTCTCTGGGACCAACACATCTTGGACAGTTTGATTTCAGAGCCTAAAGCGATGCTACGGGACCCGTCTTATCGGAACCCCAGGACACTTGAGCCCGGAGAAGTGAAAGAATCCTCCCAGGTGACCACGATGGCCAGCGCATGGGACAGTCTGAAACTTAGTGTCCTGAATCTCCGAATGCACACGTGAACGTGCGACCTGAGCCTTTAGTACCAGGAACAGAGTCTCGGGGACATTTGTCCCGCGCGGGCCCGGCAGTCACTGCGGTCCCCACCCGGAGCTCGGACACCCCGGGGTTCCGGTCACCCTGGTGGCCCGTGCCCGTCAACCCATCACTCGGTTGCCCAGCTCGGCTGACACTCACGCTCCGCCAGCATCGACATTGTCGCAAGTTGGCCGAGCGCTGCCTCTGGTCGGGAGCCCAGAGGTTATGAGGAGTCTGAAGACGGGATGAGATAGAAGCCTCCTGGGCGCGCACGCCGGGCAGAAGTCTGCACTGGGGCGCGTACTACTGACGTCAGCTGTGCGCGACTCGCTCCCAACCACGTGAAGTTGAGGGGCGGGGCCACCTTGCAGGATTGAGAGATGCGGATTTGTTCCTGGGCTTGGCCAGAGCACGTGGGACCCAAGCAGGTCAATTTAACCCTGAAAGTGGGTGTGCAAGCAACCTTAGAGCTGTTCGGGTGTTCTACCATGGGGACCTTTAAAGAGCTGGAGAAACGGCTGAAGAGGAAGGTATTGGCACTGTGGAGGGTGGCCTATGTTCCTCACTCTCTACCCATGCCCATTGGGAATGCCAAGGGAGGAGGGAGGGAGCGAAGGCAGAAACAGACATCTAGCTGACAAAGGCAAACGAAACACCTTTTTTTTTTCCCCTTGTGCTTAACGATGGAGAAAAGTTAACCCTTCCATGGTCTTCACTGTGACAGACTTAAATCCAAAAGTTGCTCGATTGGCCACACCTGAAATTTGCTGAATGCATCCTGTCATACTCTGTACCTGTCCCTTTGCGTTCCTTTCTCCTCCAAACGTGTGGTCTCAACTATCCCTCCAAGCTATTTAGCTGTTTTTTCCCCTATAGCTTTTCCCCTATAGGGAGACCTTCAGGGTCCCTTTCTTTGTCAAGACTTCAGCTTCCAATCTAGACCTTAGTTTTTCTCACATTCTTGTTGTAGCCATGCCTTCAGCACTGGCCAGGGCCCTGTCCCTCCCAGGGGTCCTTTTTCTCATTTCCTCTTGGGAAAGTCACATCCACTTTTCATCAGACCCAACAAGGTTCCATGTAGACCCCGTTGCAGCGAGTGCAGCCCTTCTAGGACGTAATGGGCTGGGGAAATGAAGTGGTGTTGTTTAGTAGCTGCGGTGGGGCAGGAGCTCAGAACTGGGAGTCGACAGACCTGAGAACTGGGCATGGCTTCGCCCACTTCTGCTTACCTGTGAGATGAGGCGGTTGATGACACTCAGCCAAGAAGGACCATATGCTTGACCATGAGTTAGAAACAAGAAAGAAGAGGCAGTCGATGTGGCAGTGTGACTGTGAGGGCACCTCTTTAGAACACCCGGGCTGTGTCCAAAATCCTTTCCAGTCTGCCCTTTCCCAGAGCCAGAATTCCTGATCTGGATCACCAAGCCCATGACCAGGCACACAGGACCATTTCCTCACACACAGTGAGGAGACAGGCTTTGTTGTGTGGCCTCTCACTCCTCTCTGGAGGATCTCCACAGGACAAGGAGGATCGGCCAGTGCGTGGCATTCCCAGTAGTGGTCTTGGATCACAGCATCTGCTACCTTTGGAAACCTTTGTTCTTTGTTTGAAAACATCTTTGGGGAGCACCATAAACTTCAATTGCCCGTTTACCCCTGTTTATGAAGAATCTGATGGACAAGTTTGGAGAGGATTGAAAATAAAGCATGTAATCAGTGCAGGTCTGGAGTCTCAAGCAAGTTGATTAGGACACTGAGGGGAACTTGCTTCTATCATGATTTTGCTCTAGGCAAATCTAGTCTTGGTGATTAAAACAAAAGTAAACCAATAAATCAATCATGGTGGAAAAAAGAGGCAAGCAGAAAAGATCCTGAGGTTATCTGTGTGAAGTTCGGCATACATTATGTAAGCATGTTCTGTAGCTGTAAGAGTGAAAGGCCAGGCCTCTGCTAGATCCTGATTGACTCTCCAGGAAGAGAGCATGGCGACATGCTTCATCTGCCCCACAAAGTCAATCCTCCTCCATTATTAGTGTCGGTTGATGGGGATCGGAGCTCATGCATATGTAGCCTGAACTTGACCGAGTAAGGGATTGCTAAATCCTCTCCTATAACCAGCCTTAGTGTGCTGTTCCCAGGAAGACCTTGTTAGGTGGAACGCTTGAATCAAGGTGATTTTTCAAACCCCAGAGGTAAAAAGTAAAGATGGCATACTTCAAAACAGAAAAAGAAAGATGGCTGCAGGGAGGAGGGCAGGAAGAAGGTACGGCTCGATTTCTCCCCCTTTTGCCATCAGAAAAGTATGCCTGTACTTGCCTCTTCGTTACATAAAATGGTCAGGGGCTGATAAATCTCTGTAACCTGCTAGGGGTGGGGTGGCAGATGACAGCAGTCCACCCAGGTAGCTGCAGGGATTGCTGGCAGCAGTCCCTTCCACAGCCTCAACTGCCAGGGACAAGGAAGCTTATTTTTCTCTTATGCGTCAACGAGAAGATCAGATGTGCTATCATGAGATGAACTCATATGTTGAAACCTTCATCCCCATAGAGATGGCATGAGTAGGTGGGGTCTCTGGGGGATTAATATGACCACAAAGAGGGAGCCTTGGGACAGGACCGGTGCCTTTAGGAGAGAGAATCCAGGTTTCCTCCTCTCTCACAGACTCTGAGAAAGCAGCAACACGACAGCATGTGGGAATCAGGAAGCAGCCCTCACAAAAGCCAAATTTGGCAACCACTGTACCCTGGACTCAGCCTCCAGAACTTTGAAGGATACATTTCTGTTATCTCTGAGCCAGTGTCAGTGTTTTGTTACAGCAGCTCAAATGGACTAAGACAGGCAAAATCATACACTGGCACAGACTAATAATCTTACGTTCCAGACCCATATTTCCAAAGAGCAATGACCCAGGAAAGGGTCTCTTAGCATTCCCGGTATGCAAATATTTAGGAAGGTGAATACAGTCACACTTAGAGGAGGAATTTTAGTGTAAGAACACCAGTACAAGCTTCCTCCATA